CGGCACAGGTGGTGGCTGTGCTGGTACCTGCCTTTACACTTACAGAGGCTTCCTACGAATTGCCGTAACAAGCATTCCAGGAGGCCATATTAGCCAAAGACCACGACATTACTGTTTGTCTTTCCATGCAGTTCTGAACAGTCTTCCCCACTCCCTGTTTATCACTTGTGACACCAGGCACCATTCAGGAAATAATGCCTTTTAACTTGAAGTCTCAAGTTAAACAAAACTCTGGGTCATTATCATGCTTTAGTACTAGGAAAGAAATAAAACTGGCTGTAACACACAATTGCTTCTCAAACAAATCTAGCTGTTACAGGGAATGGAAAGATCCAGTATTTACTGACTGCTTACATTTCTGAAGTTGCATAACCTCCCCCACAAGATGTAACTCTCAGCTTTTATCTATCTCTTCCCCTCCTCCTTTTCCCCATTTCCATTTGTTGCAGCAAGCAAGATTCCTGCCAGCAGCTCGATGGTTCACTTGTTACAGCAGGGTCTTATTTTAGCCTTTTGGCCAAACACAGGAACAAAAGGTCTTGCTCATTGCACTGATTTCTACACACCTGGTATATCCCAAGTTTGCAGGGGCAAACTTGATGTGTATATCAACCAATGTGTAGTCCAGGTAAATATTTGGATCCACTTCCAAGTCAAATTCTAGATTGCAGCCCCCAGGAATAGGATCTAGAACACAGAGAACATAACTGCAGTTACATGTTTGCAGGCACAATCCACTTGCTGAGCACAGAAAATCATCAGGTTCTGGCCCTGCAGGCAGCAAAAAGGTTTCACTGCAGCCTGTGACAGGTCCCCACACATGGGTGGCTCCAGTAACTGGAGTGTTGGAATGGAAGGATTTAAGCTCCTGTCAGATCCTGCACATGGCTCAGGGCAATCTCAAGCACAAACACAGGCTGGGTGGGGAATGGATTGAGGGCAGCCCTGAGGAGAAGCACCTGGTGGTGTTGACTGATGAGAAGCTTGACATGACCCAGCAACGTGTGCTCACAGCCCAGACAGACACCAACGTCCTGCGTGCAAAGAGGAGTGGGCAGCAGGGCCAGGCAGGGGGGATCTGCCCCTCTGCTCTGCTCTGGCAACACCCCACCCCAACACAAGAATGATGTGGACCTGCTGGAGTTAGTCCAAAGGAGAACCATAAAGATGACCAGAGGGATGGAACACCTCTCCTATGAGGAAAGCCTCAGAGTAGGGGTTGTTCAGCCTGGAAAAAGGCTTTGGGGAGACCTTTCCAGCAGCCTTCCTATACCTGAAGGGAGCCTACAAGAATGCTGGAGAGGGAATTTTTTACAAGGAATGACAGGACAAGGGGTAAAGTCTTTAAGCTGAAGGATGGTAGATTTAGCATGGATATTGATGCCTTGAGTTTTAGCTTTCATATTTTTCAGATTCTGTGCTGCCTAGGTGTGTAGCTCTGAGCTTCATATTAGTTGCCAATAAATTCTCTTCTCACAGAGTAGGTGAACAAAACAATCCCTTTCCAGTTTGAGACCAAGGACACCCATTACAAGTTTCAGACCCAAAAGGTATAAACAACAGAGAACAAGAGAGTAATAAGGAGGATGGAACTTCATAACCTGAAGCTGTAATTGGACAATTAACTCCAATATGCAAATGGACCACAACTTCTAAAAGTGTGAGACCTTGTGACCAGTCATCCATTTTGTGACCAGTTTAGGTCCATCTTAGCTGTAGCCCTGACCAGGCCCTTGTACTGCCCAAGGCCTTTCAATAAACACCCACTTTATTCCTTTAGCTCTGTCTAGTCTCTGTGCCAGGTTCAGCCTCTCAAGGCATCAATATGAGGAAGAAATTCTCTCCTGTGAGGGTGAGGAGGCCCAGAAAAACTGTGGCTGCTCTATCCCTGGAAGTGTCTGAGGCCAGGCTGGATGGGGCTCTGAGCAACCTGGGGTAGTGGAAGGTGTCCCTGCCCATGGCAGGGGGGGTGGAACTGGATGATCTTTATGACCCACTTCCAATCCAAACAGATTTGTGATTCCATGATCACATGCACAGCAGTTTTCTATTCTAAGGCTTAAGTCATGGCAAGATCACTCACAATCCAGCAGTGACAATAAAACATTTTCAGCCCATTTCAAAGGAATTTCTGGTACCTCTATCAGATTTCCACCATGTAAGACTGAAAGGTCAACACTTGATTCCACAGATGACTTGCCTGAGCAGAGCTGGCATGCCCTGAGCACGTACCTTTCTCCATGTAGGGAATGGAGATGGCAGTGCTGAGCACCTGGCCAGCACCCAGGGCGCGCAGGTACCACGTACACACGGTCTGCTCGGGCCGAAGGATGGACACCAGCCCTTTGTCCACGCCGATTCCTGAGCTGTTCAGCGACGGAGTCTGCACAGAAACAAACTGTAGAAACAAGCAGTTCTTCTTGAGAAGACTTCTACCACAGTTTGATACTATTTCTGTATTTTGATAGTATCACAGGAGGCTATTCCTGCCACAAACCTGCCAGGCAACACATCAGTGCCAGTTACAGCAGATCAGGCTCTGCCCAAAATGTATTTGTGCTTGGTCCAGCTCCATGTGCAGGACCTTCCTGAACTTGGCCTTGCTGAATTGTACGAGTTCTGCATAGGCCCACCTCTGCATCCCTACCTGGTGAAAAAAGGGAGCTGACACCACACACTGCCTGGCTCAGCTCAAAAACCCAAGTGTGGGACTACTAAAGAGCTGACAATCACAAGCAAGTTGCAGCAAAATCTAGCTAGTAGATCTGGCAGTGGATTGACTAGTACAAATGTAAAAGGACTGGAGTATCCCTCACAAAAGGTTGTGAGATGGCAGCAAGGAAGTGCTCTGGGAACCAGCATACAGAAGCACCTTCCTATCTCCACCAGATCAGACATGACTCTATGACAGCTGCCTTAACACTAGCAAAGGCAGATGTTTTTGGGGCCAGGCCAGTTACTGACCCAATCCTCAGCACCACCATCCCTTCCAGAATCAGAGTTTTTGAGGAAAGATAAGCAGAAAGGACAGTATCACAATCAATCTCACAGCTGGAACAGCCAGTTGACCTGCAGCCACATTTTCAGCATGGAAAGTGCCTTTGGCCAAGGCAGCCATAGTCACCCAAGGCAATGCTGCAAGGAAGCACATTGGAGCTGGCAGACTTCAAGGTCTGGCTCAACTTCACATTTCTAGAGGCAGGCCAACCCTAAAAGCAGCCCAGCTGCATTTATGCATCACTGCCCTTGGCCTGGTAAGGCCTACAAATACAAAGAGGATCTGAACTGGCAGCAGAGGTGCAATGGCAAGCAAAGACTGAACAGGTGTAATAGTAATGGCTCAGCCCTGTAATCCTGGCTGTTTCACCAGTACAAGGATGGCTGAGCTGTGTGACTTGTGTTACAGGTCCCCCATCTTCTAAGCTTCCCAGGATACTTCTTGGCACTCAGTATATTCTGATTTCAAAGATGCTGGTGGAGAAAGGAAAACTGGATTGCAGCTGTCAGATCTCCATCTACCACCTTCAGTTAGTCCATGCTCTGTCTGAATACCAGTGCCAGCCAGCAGCACAACAAGAAAAATCAGTATTTTAGATTAGGTTAATTTTGTCCCATCATTACTGGGATGCAGGGTACAGCAGCAGGAATTTTTTTATTGCTGTCTAGAAGTAGCAGCTTTCACTAGAGTACATGGAGGAATTTCACCGTGTGTTACCAAAGGAAGATTAGACTCAGGACAAGAAGCTGGGATAACAAAACCTCATATCTGCAGCAGTTAAATCCAAGCCACGGGAACAGCAGACAACTAAACATCCCAAAGTGATCATGTATGGAGCACCTGGCAAACACTTACACAGATCTTGTTTTAATGTGACAAGCTGGTGGACAACAGTCAGTAGAACCCCATGACAAAAAGCACCACTCCCACCAAATAAAGAGCCTTGAAACATTTTTAAGCCAGCTCTGACATTCCTTTGGCATTCAGTCTTTCAAAACAGCAGCTATGACATATAAGTACAAGAAGGGATTTTTGAACCTACAGTAACACTGATTAAAAGCCAAGCAGGTAAAATATACTATTGATTTATACAGCTTCAGTCCATTAGTCCTACCTGTACCACAGCCAAGTCCTTTGTTGAAAGACAGGCAGCACTTAAGAGAAGTGACACTCTTACCTTATCAAAGGATATCACCACATCACTCTGCTGGGCATGCACTTGAAAAATAACCACAGTCACATTGCTGGCGATGTTTCTGATCACAGCCTCCACTGGATTGGTCTGGTTAAGTAGCACATTTCTGAATTTTCCCAAGGAGAGCTCAAGAAGACCTGCATTACAAAAAAAAATAAAAGGAAGATAGAGGGTTTTTTTTGGTCCAGAGGGAAGCAATTACCAGGGAAACCTGGAAGCTTCCAGTAGCCCAGTATTAGCTGGGAGCAGAGCAGGATGTTGCTTTGTGCTGCTCTCATCCTATGAGCTGTACCTAGCTTTCAGAGACTGCTGCACACAGAGCTGCACCTGCAGACATAGGCACAGCCAGGGTACCTTCCCTGCGGCCTGGCAGTCACCTGAGCACAGGGACAGAGCTTCCTGCCAGGAGTCAGGATTTGATACAGCTGAGCTCACCAGCTCAGCCAACCAGCCAGCTACACTCCAAAAAGTCAGTAAGATACTGAGGACTGCCTGATCTTCGGCAAATACAGGCAGGTGTGTTTGTACCAGCCAGCCAACTTGCACAATATCCATCAGACTTTCCAGGTGAATTCCTACAGACCATGGAAACTGGAGTCAAGTTCCAGAAGACAGAGTCAAATCTGTAGTATACATACATATATTTACCCACTTTCAGCTATTCCACATCTTTCGCTGCCAAACAGTTTTTAATCATTAGGACTGCTTCATCCCCATCTCCAGACCTAAAAATGTGATTAGTTTTTCCTAGACACAACCTAGACCATTTCTTCCTACAATGAGCATAACCCTATGATCCACTGTCATTTTAATTTAAAGAGAACCACATGACCTAGGAAATAAGATCTTTGAGAATCAGTTTGGCTTGTCATTCAAGTCCTACAAGCAAGCCTGGCTTCTCCCTGTGCTGGGCTCAACAGGGGCAAGGGATGCCAAGGGAGGAAAGTGAAGCAGTCACACAGAAGCCACAAGATGCTCTTTGGTTGGTGGTTGCAGCCAGACTGCACAGTGCCTTCCAGGCTTTTTCCCCGAATTCCTCTGCCTGCCTCTGTACCCAAACAGACCTAAAACTTATCAAGCCTGAACACACACACACACACACACTTCCTCAATGAAGTTGCATCTGGTGGAAAGGGCTGGTACTTCCAAGTTCCCTAACAGTCACCAGCAGCACCATCTGAGGGACACTTGCTGATGACACTGGGCGGTCACATTCACAAGAGAGGGGACAGTTTCCTTATCTGAAACTATACCCAGTACTCAAACAGCTTTCCTGTTACTTTTCTCTCTCTCTCTCTCTCTCCAAGAACTGGTATCATTGGCCAGTTTTTTTGCCTCCTGATATGTTAACAGAGAAGAGCTGTTATGCCTCCTCCACTCCATACACAGTGAGGGAAAGAACTTTAACCCTTACATGCACACTCCCAAAATTCAATTAATACCAGTACTGCATCAGAAAAAAAACCTCAGCTAAAATATGGGGGTTCATAAACCACTTGTGAGGAAAGAAAGATGCTCCATTTTTCTGCTCCGTCATCTGCAGTTTGTGTTAAGGTAGAAGCTTCTACACCAAATGTTCACATAGTAATGTAAAATTAAAGATACAAAAAAAGCTTTGTGTATCCTTCAGTTTCTGATTCTTCAGAGTCTCTCGAACAGCATTCAGATATCCTCAGATCTTTCCTCACAGCTCAAACTCTACCACAAATGCAAACAGCAGTATGATTGCTAAAGAAAAGCATTCAGAATGCACAGACTATACATCTATACACTCAGAAATTTACAGTGAATGCTTACAATGCACAAAAAATATTTTTCTTTGATCTTTAAAAACTTCAGCAACGCTTCCTGAACCACAAGACATTCACACTTAGACGTTCTTGTAAGAAAAAAGCTGAAACCATACACATTCTTTGTGTGATCTACATCAAGGGGAAAGAACTGCATTGTTCTGCCTTGTTTCTCACCTCCACTCCATACCCATGGGCCTCTACTTAAATAAGGACAGATTCGTCAGCAGGACACACAGACACTACTTCAGCATGATCATGAGACTCTAAATGTCAGAGGCACTCTCTCAAGTTTAATTAGCGTGGTGAATTAAGGTATAGTGTTCTATATTGCTTTACTGTTTGCATAACTGCTCTGAGAACAGCACATGTGATACACATTATCCCAAAGTCTGGGCACAAGAGCAGAGACTCAGGGTGAAGAACATCTACACCCATCAGAGAAATCCTGTTCAGCTTGCTGTTCACAGTGAACCACACTTTCAGCCAGGCTTAAAAGATGACGAGCACTGCAGAACAACAGAATCTTCTCAGAGGTTTTTGGAAGAGCAATTCCTCCACAGCCACACATCACAGCACCCTTCCAGCCTTCTCTGTTATTTGAACAAGTCACTCCTGGTGCGCTGAGACAGAAAGGGAAGATGGTGAGCAAGACTAATTGATTAAATTAACCAACTCACAATTCACCAGGCCTATTCCTATCACCAGTTCTCTGGTTCTAATACCAGACAGGTATTAGACTCCCTGAGCCACAGAGAGCTCAGTCTTGTCAAACATCCTTTGAAAGGCACAGAGACCTCAACAACCACATAGTGCTGGTCACAGCATGCAATCTTCTCCTTTGGGCAAGCTTGACCTGCCCAGAGGTGGCCCACCAGACAGGTCTGCAGGACCAGCAGCACAGTTAACTCCACCTCACAAGTGAGAGAGTTGATTCAGCAAGTCAGCAACAAAGATGGGAGCAAAATCCAGGCATCCCAACTTGTTTTATTGCTTCCAATGGTGAAGGCCTGGACACGCTCTAAAGGTGTCAGGCTATGCTCTCTTCCTTGCCCTATAGGAAGGACTGTAACAGTCACTACACATCAGAGTAATTTTGGGTTAGATACATGAGAGGAACCCAAACTGCTACAGAGCTTATCAAATGAACAGATGCTGAAAGGAAGTCAGCATTGCTGAAACCAAGCAGCAGCAGAGTGGAGAGGGAGCACTGAGCATGTATTACTCCATAAACAGCACCAGGGCTGTAGCACAGATAGCCCTGCACACAGAACTGGTGAACACAGCAAACAGCCCACTCTGTCATCCCACAGTATCTCTTCTCCCACATGAAGGGCAAAACCGGTAAAGACAAGAAACAGAACCTCCTGGAACTCTTCTGAGATCAAAAGTCCTTATTCCTAACTCTAAACAACAAGACAAAAAACTCCAGAGCCTCTGCACTTGTTATCCCTTCCCTGTGACACGCTTTCTCCAACAGGCTACACCCAGCTTCAACTGTTTCCATTGTGCTGATTCAGTGCCAAGCTCTTGGCTCCTCTGATGCTTTGAGAAAACCACATTTCCAGCTCCAATAGCCAAGTGTCACTCCCTACCACCACAGAGCAGTTAACCACACAGGGTTCTTGATTACAACCAGCAGTCCAATTTCCAGTAAGAAAAACAACTGAAGAAATGCCCCTGCTGCCCATACAGCCATGCTCAAACATTATCCTTCTCTCAAAGAGGTTCTGTGCAGTCAGAGAAAACACATTTCTACTGGGTGTCAAGCACCTTGCAGTGGATATGCAGAATAACCTGATGTAAGCAAGCTCCAGGAGCCAAGGAGAACTTTCCAGTGCAGGGAGTACAAGTAGTCACATGAAGACATTTAATGAAGATGAAATGCAAGCTCAGACTGACAACCAGTTTGAGTAAGAAAAACATTAGCATACAGTTACTTAACAGAATAAAGCCTGGAGCCATATCCTATCAGACCTGTAAGGCCATGCAGACACAGATAATGGGAGAGTCTGGCTACAGGGTCTGTCTTCCCACACTACTGAGCCCCCCTCCCCCCCCAAAAAAAATACAGCACCTACCCTATTCCCAAAAGAAGCAGAAACATTTCTGAAAGCTTCTAAACTTTGATTGTGTGTGTACTGAAACTCATGTTTAGAACAGCTTGATACTTAAAGCAGATGACACCACAGAATGTGACTTGCCACCATCTGCACCATTCCCATCCCAGAGGACTATTCTGTTCACCAGGCTAGAGGTGTTTTACAGCCTGAAAAGTGAGGGAAGAGATTTGTGTGAACATCTTATTGTAAAGTATCATCTCTGCATAGACTAAACAAGTTTCACCCAGATAAGCTCCCTTTACAAAAGCACCCCTCAGTCCTGATTACACTATAAATTCACTTTAGTTTTTCCAAAACTAAACAGCCCACTTTGGATGTAGCAAACACGGCCAGCTGAACTCCTCCTCAGGAAGACAGAACTCCCTGGAAGGCAACAATCAGTGCAGAAAACACTTCTGCACAAAGACTAAGTTTGAGGGGCCGCAGCCCATCAGAAGCCCAGAGAGGTTACACAGGCCATCATGCAAAGATTTTACTGATCAGCACTTTTAAAATGAAGCAGGAGCTTCAAGAAATAGGAGTTAGCAGAGCCCATCCCTGAAAAGTGGGTGCCCACAACTGAATAACCACAAGACAATTTCAAATCAGTGAACCATTAAGCAAGTGGCCTTTTTTAAAGGCCCTAATGATCAGCTAGACTCTGGTACACAAATTACACAGCTTATTAGCTTTTCACAAGGGAAATACTTTCCTCCCCTCCACCCTCATTCGTGCAAGGAAAAACAGCAACAGGTTCCTCCAAGGCAAAGCAGTTTGCTTAGTCTCATAGTTGCTTTGCCTTTTTACATAATGTAGAAAAATTACTCAACACATGACCCAATTTCATCAAGTCTAGGAGACAAACTGCTTGTTAGCATCCTTTAAGTTATCTTAAGGACATTAAGGTCTAAGAAAGCAGAGCTTTTATTCTCACACCTGCTTGTGACCATCAGGTGCCCAGCCAAAGCTTTTAGGTCCTGCAAGAAACAGGGAATATTTGGCTCTCCATTAGGATCTTGGGCATGAGACTTGGGCAGAGAGAAGCCTTCCACACCTGAGACTGATTCCAAATGCTGTCCTGCAGCCCTGCAAAGTATCCAAAGAGTCTCCTTTGGACAATTAAGCTTCATTCATTCAAGGCCAGGTTGGGTGGGGCGTTGAGCAACCTGGTCTAGTGGAAAGTGAACCTGCTCATGGCAGGGGGGTTGAAACGAGATGAGGTCCCAAACCATTCTATGAGTCCATGGTTAGAAGCAGTACAAAAATAAAGCAACTAAAAGGAGGAGGCTTATATCAGCCCTGATAAGAAGGACTGCTTGCTTATCTTTGAATTATCTCTGAGAGGAAACTGTTTATTTTTTCCTTTATTTGAACAGATAAGAGTTTAACCAGAAAAAGAAAAAAAAAAAAAGAAGTGACTGTAAATCTTCCTGAACTATACTTATTATAGCACACTTAACTCTGGACTCCTATTTTAGTCACATGCAGGAACACAGGGAAATTACAAAAAAAGCCCATGCCAAATAAAGTCAGATTACATCAGTACGGACAGAAAGTAAGTTTAGGAACCAAGCTGCAAATTCCAAATTCTAGGTTTTACCCCTTTCCCTAGTTTTATAGCAATAGTGGTTTTCAACCCACCATCCACTAGGGTGGTGAGAACCCATGAACACCTGCACATGGTCGGGGGATAAAGGCAAGCAAACCAACCCAAATCGCCTTTTAGCTATGTCAACTCACGTTCACGAGTGGCCAATGCCACCTCGTTTCTGTGCGAGGAATACAGCCCTACACCATCCGCATCACCTGCTCCGCACACCCGCGGCCAAAATCATTCTGAATTATCCATGAAACAGTTACAATTATGGCATTCACGGCAATTAAGACGTTTAAAAAAAAAAAAAAAGCGGATAGGGAGGGAAAGGGGATAAAAAAAGAGGGTGGCTCTCCTTGTCCGCATGAAAGATGCAGACAAGCAGGAACACACACGGCGCTTCTGCAGCGCCGCGGGGAGCTCTGCCCCGCGCTCCTGCGGAGGGCAGGTGGCGGCAGGGACAGCCCCGAAGGCTCCGCGGCGGCAGCGAGCCCGCGCCGCCGGCCGCGACCGGGCACGGCCCCGCAGCCCCCGGCCCGAGCCGCGCTCCTCCGCCCCGCTCCGCCGCCCTCACCTGAGGCTCCGCCGTGCCGCAGGACCCCCGCGAGCAGCAGGAGCAGCGCCGGGCGAGCCCAGCCCCACATGGCGCTGCGGAGGGAGCGCGCAGAGCGGCTGAGGCCGGGACAGGCCGGGCGCGGCGCGGCGCGGCGCGGGGCGGGGCGGGGCGGGCGCCGGGGGCGGGCGGCAGGCGGGGCCGCTCCGGCCCGGCCGGGGCGGGCGGAGGGGAGGCGTTTGGCCGCGGTGGCTAAAAATCCTGAAAGTGCGCGGTGGGGTTTGGATCGGCAGTGTGGGGTTTGGGGTTTGACTTCAGAGCGTGAGCAGAGCCCAGATCGTCACCCATCCGTGCCGTCGGGAAAACACTTTGGGCGGATTGTTTGTGTCGTTGCTGCACCCGCAGCATCAGTGACAAGGCTACAGAGTGGTTATTTCCAAAGGCGTGTTGTGACAGGGTAAGAGAAATGGCTTCAAAATGAGGTCTAGACTGGATATTAGAAGGTATTCTTCCCTATGAGAGTAGCACAGGGAAGCTATGACTGTCCCATGCCTGGCAGTGTCCAAGGGCAGGTTGGATGGGGCTGGGAACAACCTGGGATAGTGGAAAGTGTCCCTTTAGGAAGAGATGCTCTCTAAGGAGAAGGCTGGCATTGTACCCAGCTGTCAGAGGTAAGAAAGATGGGCACAAACCGACTGGCACGAATGGCATTTATTCTCCAACCCCCGGGCTCGGGGGCCGGGTGCTGGCTCTGATTTGGCTCGTTGGGAGCATTACACTCTGGCTGTTCCCTGCTCACATCGGGGCTGGAGCGGAGCACCCGAGCGCTGCTGCAGCCTTCAGCTGGGCTCAGAGCGGCTGCCGCACAGCAGAAGCCGTGGCAGTACCCGAATGGCGTAGCTTTGAAAAGACCTCTGCGGTCAGCGGGCGCAGCCGTGCCGGGCGGCGCCGGGCGCCAAGCCCCGCCTTCCCCCGGACGCCCCGAGGGGCGCCGGCCGCCCGTTCCTCCCGGCCGCCAGGCGGCGCGCGCGCCCCGCGCCTCAGGGGCGGCGGCGGCGGCGCGGCCATGGCGGACCGGCTGACCCAGCTGCAGGACGCCGTCAACTCGGTACGGCGGGGCCGCCGCCTCCGCGCTCCCGGGGCCGCGGGGAACGCCGCGGGCTCTGCGGGGATGCGGCTCCCCGCCCCGGGCGGGGGCACGGCGGCGGGTGTGGGGTGCGCGGCCTGCGCGTGGCCGGGGTGCCGCGCGGTGAGGCGGGGCGGCCGCAGCGGCGGGGCAGGGCGAGGAGCCAATTAACCGCGTTAATTGGCGCCGGCAGCTCGCGGACCAGTTCTGCAACGCCATCGGAGTGCTGCAGCAGTGCGGCCCGCCGGCCTCCTTCAGCAACATCCAGACGGCCATCAACAAGGACCAGGGCGTCAACCCCACGGAGGGTGAGTGCGGCTGCCCGCGTCGCCTGCGCGCTTCGGGAGTGCAAAGCCCCTCGGCGAACAGCTCCCCCGCAGCTGCGGGAGGGCTGGGGATACCTCGGGGTGGTGTCGGCTGCGCTTTCTGCGTAGCAGTGTTGGCGTTCAGGAACACGCATCATCACGGGGGATGGTTATCTGCAGGTGCTTTTATTGAGAGCCCTGGGAATCAGCGGTACAGACCCAAATCTGACTCCGACATGGCTTTCGAGCTACACGTCTTTTATATTCTATCCTTATATAACTTACATATTAATTATTAAACTTATATTGACTTCATTCAACCATGAGTTTCTCATGATCTTTGTTATGCCCCTGACTACAGTTTCTCATGATTATTCTTACGATTAAACAGTAATTATATTTAATTACTAAACAATCATCACATCTAACAACTATATAATTTATCACGTACTAGCTACACAGGTGCAGTTCTAGCAAGGTACAAGACCTTCATGTACCTAGGGTACTTATTTTTTTCAGGGCCTACTAAAATTAATTTTCTTTTTAACCCTAAATCCCCATGATTTTAAAACCCTTTTACTATCAACAGTGTGGCAGCAGAGTTGTGCTTGTTTCTAAAAATTCCCCGAGTGATTGGCTGAGTTGTGCTGTGTTTTGTGCAGAGTACGCCCAGCTGTTCGCAGCTCTGATCGCTCGCACCGCCAAGGATATCGATGTTCTCATAGATTCCCTGCCCAGTGAAGAATCCACAGCAGCTTTGCAGGTAGGAGTTTTCATAATTCTGACATCAGGATGCTCCTGAAGGCAAACTTCCTTCTTTTTTTTTTCTTTTTTAACACGTTTTTTCATCTCTAAGCCATGTCACCATTGAAAAATGATTTTAGTACAAACCTGAATTTTTTACAAGGGCAGCCTAAGCGTGCTTTGTAGGCTTAGTGGAAATAGTGACCTTGCATCTAGTTCCAAATAAGGTTATAATCAATGACAATATTTTAGACTTAGTTTTCTGTTAAAATGTAAAAAAAAAGATGGTTTTTCACACCACCACTGCACTGGAAACTGCTCACCTTTTTTTTCAGATGTTAACAGAACAGATATAACAGTACTGATGCTCTGTGCATTGTTTTATTCGTTTTTTCCCCTTGGGTTATATTTCATATTTTCTCACATTTCATTCTGTAGCTGCAGAACTAATGCTACAGAAGTCTTTTGTTCTGCCACATTGTTTCTGGTTAAAGAGCTTGCGGGGTGTCCTTTAGGTTCTTCAGCTCTGTCACAAAATAACTCCATCACTTTTCGATAACAAGGATTCTTCCTTTGAGCCAATCAAACTTGTTTTGTTTTGGGTTTTTTTTCCCTATTTTTTCGTAGATTTTACCTGTTAAAACCATCCTTTTTTTTTTATTATTTTTCTTTGTGACTCTTAATGGCTGGATTTACATCAAGTGTTTTCTCTTTGGAATGCATAAAGGATGCTGAGTGCTGTTTCTCTGACAAACCTGATGATCACCTTTAAGACCACCTAAAAGTTTTAAACTTGCATTGATAGTTGGTAACTGTTTAAAAGTGTTTTACAGAAGATTGACACTGAATAAGCCAAAGAGAAGAGACATGGCAGTGGCATCACGTTTGTTTTAAACAGAGGAGGTTAAATTTGGGAACTTCGCTAGTCGCAGTAATTGCTAAACATCAAAATTGGGCTCATTAACACTGGCATAATTTCCTGTAAGTGCATTTTTAATAGCTGAAGATAGAATGCCTGCTGCAGACAAATTCCAGTTTGTTCCATGACTGAGCAGAGTCTGATCAAAGTGGCAGCTGGTGTGGGTAAAGCAGGGTGCTCCAGAAGGAGGAGCTGGTTATCCAGTAAGGATATGCTTTCCTTAGAGGTGATACTTCAACAGTTTCTTGCTGTCTTAATGAAGAACTTCATGTCACAAAAATTTCAGATCCTTTCTATATGTTATGGTTTTAAGATAAATTAGCTTGGATTCCATCACTTGGATTCCAGTTTTGATTTTTATTTTCTGTTGCTTAATTTGGTGCAGTATTAAATATTCTGATAGTCTTCAAAGAAATGGTTTTAAGGATGCTTGAAACACTCTCAAATATGCACTATAGGTTTAGTTGAGAAGTGGTAGATAATACTCGTTTAATACAAATCTGCTTTTTTTATACTAAAGTTGTCTTGGTGTATGTTTCAGATCTGAGTCTTGTCGTAAATTACAAAAGGAGCTGCTACACAAATGCTCAACACAATTTACCTGCCCCTTGTGAAGCTGACAGTACAAATTCTGCTCTAATCTGTGGATTAGCTGCAGTCAACTATTAAACAAGAGAACATTTTTCTTTTTAGGGAGAACCAGTTCTCTCATCATCCTTCAGTAGCAAAGTCACTTCAGGATTCTGTTGAAGATCCTTGCTTTTCCCTGTTGCCCAACATCAAAAGAGGAAACTCTTGCAACGGTGTTAAAATAGTAAAATAAAAAGCAGGCCTTTATTGGAAGCTTCCAGGTGTCCCAATGATCTTGGTCACACCCAGCATCAGATTTCTACAATTTTATGAGTTTAACAAACTAGCATATCTAATAAATATTGTCCAATTAGAAGAGTAGTTGGTTAGTTAGTTTTCCCTGCATTCTACCCCACTGGAAATGGGGCTTTTTTAGCCCCATTTCTTGTGTGTTCTCAGATTCTGGTTGGAAAACAAAACATCCTGATCAGGCTTCTTTGTAAGGAAAAGACTGAACAGAATTCCAAGTGTGCATTAAAAGGGTTAGCTTAGTTCTAAAGGGAAACGGTAGAAAAAATACTAGGACTATGATAGTAGCATCCAGAGGTACAAATATATGAAAAATACATAAAAAGCCAAAAATCTTTGGGCATCATCCCGGTTTTGCTTTGAAGGCTGCGAGCCTGTACCGGCTGGAGGAGGAGAACCACGAGGCGGCGGCGCGGCTGGAGGAGGTGGTGTACCGCGGGGATGTGCTGCTCGAGAAGATCCAGAGCGCCCTGGCCGACATCGCCCAGTCGCAGCTGAAGACGCGGAGCGGCACCCACAGCCAGCCCCTGCCCGACTCGTAGCGTGCCCGAGAGCCTCGGGAGCGCCTCTGGATGCGCCGGGAGCGGATGGGCTGGCCCGCGCCTCCCGCGGGGCTGCTCCGCGCTCTGCTCCCCGCCCGGAGCGGCGGCTCTGGCACAGCTCGGCTGCGGGGTTTGTGTGAGAAACGCTTCTACGGGGCTCTGTTACGGATCTGCGTGGGTTGATGTGTGTTTCCTTGGCTTAGAACGAGCTTTCTGTTCACGAATATGACTTCAATCGAATTTGTTACATATTAGAAGTATTTGCATAAATTAATCCCACTGTGGTCATGGTATGTTTTTCTGTAAGCCTCAGACACACACAAGTTGGGCAGAGTTCCCTGGAGACAGCGCTGTGAATGCAGTGATGGTCATGTTTTAATTAACAGCACTGGTAATGTTGATTGGCTGGTTTACAACCTTTTACAGAGCATATGAAAGGATAGGTAAACTGATGCTTACAGAGTGATTGTTCTTGTCATTGGCATCACATTTACAAAGAAATAAACCTGCAGGTGTCTGATATTGACATATATTCTTTGTAATTCACAAATGAACCTTTGAGTCCATCGTTGCTGCTGACACACTTGCTCTTGCTTGTGCTATTTCTCTGCTTTTACTGATATTCTCTTGGCAACTGGTGAGCGCCTCTAAAGCAGGCAGTGATGAGGAAGCATTGGATGACTGGATAAAAATCAGCAGTGAGAAAACTGAAAATAGCTTATTACATAAAGTTGCTTTTCAGTGTAAGCAGTGGCTGCCATATGAATACTGTGATCAAAAGCAGCAAGATTCCTGTTGTCCCCAAGGTGCTCTACAGAGGCGTATTTATCTTCACACAATCACAGAATGAATTTCTTCTCTTTGATGTAGGACTACAGAAATACTAGTATCACTTATGATATTTAAAATAAAACCCAACACCAAACCAGCAGCTCGTGTAGGCTTCAAAGCATGAACTTGGGGTTAAACTTGCTCATTTTCTGTTGTTTTGAGTTACCAGCCTTGTTATTGCAGGATGTTGTTTGTTGCCACATAACATCAGCTCATTTCTTGATCAAAACTGCCTGTTTCTGTATATTGGCTACGTTGTCATTGACTTGAAAGTTACACATATTGCTAATGCAGAGACAAATCAGAGCAATTTAAAAATGCCTTTAGCATGAAACAAGTGTAGCACAGCACAATGTTTGGAGGATTAAGAAAGAGAAAGGTGTTCCTACCTCTAACAAATACAAAAACTGGAAGTACTTAATGAGACTGGTATTTCATTGCTTAATAATATTTTACAAAATGTGCATATCTGTAGTCATAAATTTAATCTGCTGTTGTGGAACTCTTGTACTATCAGATTCTGCAGAAGGAAAAAAAGATGGGAGAGTGAACAGACTACAGTACAGCCCCATGCCTGTGACAGCTTGTCCTTGATTTATTTTGCCCATATCCTGGGGAGGTTTGAGAGGCCAGATTTTCATTTGAAGTCAGTCCTGGGGCCTGGTTTTTGGTTTTTCCTGGAAAAACTACATCCAGTGCATCTCAAGATGGTTGGGATTAGGGTGGGGTGAATTTTTGTTGTTTGTTTGCTTTTTGAATTAGTGGACTTGAAAAGAGGGAAAAGTTTGGGCTTTGTGGATTTTTTTTTTTGAGCTGTCTTGAATTGAGATTTATATGTTGCTGGAAAAGGGATTTGATCTTCATAGTAGATTCCCTGTTACAGCTTAATGTGTATCACCTCACACTTGTTAATTTGGAAACTGTGGGAGACAGTATGTCTTCAGGAACCACAGTTCTTTTCATTTCATAGCCTTCTATTTTTTTTTTTTTTTTTTTTCTTTAAAGCTGCTCTATTTCTGCAGCCTGATTCTGCCTAACTGTGGGAGGTCTTCTAGTTGCTGTTTAGGCATCAAATAAGTAGTCACATTTGGAAGTAAACCTTAACTAGAGATATAAATAAGTTCCCTCATAAGTATATTAGATATTTCAACACTCGAGCTGTTGTAGATTTTCACCTGCTCGTTCACAGTCTGCAGCTTGGTCAGCAAAGTGTGTATCTTCTGTTGGGTCTGACACAACAAAAGAGGGAAAACACTGATTTGCTACAACTGTTTAGTGGACAAAGCATTAGACTGGGGCCTGGAGATGTGGATTCCTTTGCTCTTTATCATGTGCTGATTTGTCCAGCTGCTGCTATTGGGGTTTGGACATCTCTGTTCAGAGCACGCTGTGATGGTAGTGATCTCTGTACTCGGGCAAGAGTTGTAGGGCATGCAGGATCACAGGGTCATTTGTGACACTCCTACTTTAAATGCATTGGAAAAAGTCTGGGAGTCAGAGAATCATAGAATGGAATGGGACCTTAAAGCTTGTCTCATTCCAACCTCCTGCGGGACAGCTTCCACTATCCCAGCTTGCTCAGAGCCCCATCTGACCTGGCCTTGGACACTGCCAGGGATGGGACAGCCAAAGCTTCTCTGGGCAACGTGTGCCAGGGCCTCACCACCCTCACAGGGAACAATTTCTTTCTAATATCCAATCTAAACCTGCTCTCTGCCACTTTGGAGCCATTCCCCCTTGTCCTGTCACTCCAGGCCCCTGTCAAGAGTCTCTCTCCATCTTCCCTGTGGGCTCCCTTCAGGCACTGCAAGGCCACAGTGAGGTCACCCCAAAGCCTTCTCCTCTCCAGGCTGAACAATCCCAGTTCCCTCAGCCTTTCCTCCCAGCAGAGCTGCTCCATCCCTCTGCTCCCCTTGGTGTCCCTGCTCTGGCCTGGCTCCAGCAGCTCCCTGTCCTTGCTGTGCTGGGATCCCAGGGCTGGATGCAGCCCTGCAGGGGGGTCTCAGCAGAGTGGGGCAGAGGGGCAGAATCCCCCCTGCCCTGCTGCCCTGGGGCTCTGGGTTGGGGCAGGGCCAGCTCTCACCCACAGCACCCCCAAGTCCTTCTGCCAGGGCTGCTCCCTCTGCTCATCCCCAGCCTGTGTGGCGTTGAGCCGTGACTGCTTCCCAAATTTTAATACCAGAGAGAGGGGCAGGAAGCAGGGAGAAACAAAGAGGGCACAGCAGCTGGTAACAAACATATCACATTACCTGCAAGAGAGTTGTGAAAGGAAACTTTGGTTGAGACAAGAGAATAGATGGAGGTAGAGCGTGCAGGAAGAAAACAAAAGTATTGAGCAATGGTTCTGCTTATTATGTTGGACAAGAAGTACTGCCCATTGAACAAATTGTGCTTTGAAGAAAGACAGTACAGAGCATAATGGAAAATTCCATTGAAAAACAGTCTCAACAACTTCAAATGAGCAGGAGTATCTCACTCTGGGAATCCATACAGCCCACTGGCAGAGATGTTGGAATCAATTTAGTAAACATAAGAAACTGATCAAAGCCTAGTCTTCTTTACTATAAACAACTATGCTTGGAGGAAAGGAACACCTCGCAGCAGCTGTTCTCTTTTTCAGAGACAAGAATAAGGAGGAATTTGTACACTTGTTTTTAAAGGTACTGGGGAAAGTGCATTAACGTTATTTTATCTTAATGTCTACATAGAGTTAATCTTGGCTTCTATTGCACATGATCTTGGGAGCTTCTGCTGTGTATGGCATGGGGGAAAGTGTCTTGGCCATCACCACAGAACTGATACCAAAAGATTTTGGGAGTTTTCAGCAATACAGGCCAGAGACTGGCAGGCTGGAGAGCAGCTCTGCTCAGCTGGAGCTCGGGCCTTGGTACACAGCAGGCTGAGCATGAGCCAGCAGCTGGCCCTGGGAATACAACGGGCCAGCACCACCCCGGGCTGTGTTAGGGGGAGCACAGCCTGGAGATGGAAGAAAGTGATCACTTCCCTGTGTTCAGCACGTGTTGGAGTGCACCTGGAACACTCCTGACAGCTGTGGGGCCCTGGGCTCAGCATGGGCTGGAGCACATCCCCTGTGAGGAGAGGCTGAGGAACAGGAATGGCAGCCTGCCCATGGAATGGCTTTGGGGATGCCTAGCAGCAGCCTGCCCACACCAATGGGGGCTTATGAAAAGACAGGACCAGGCTGTTCACAGTCGTGCTTGGCAGAAGGAGGATGATGGTGGACAAAGATTGGAACAACAGAGGTTCAGACATCACAAGGAAAAGCATTTTCCACATCGGGACAAGTAAATTTTGTAACACGGTCCCCAGAGAAGCTGAAAATCCTGGGAGGTTTTTCAGGACTTGGCTGCTTAAAGCTCTGGCCAGCCTCATGTAACCTCGCAGCTGACTGACCTCTGCTCAGGAGGTGGAATTAGACTCCTCCTGAGGTCCCTCCTCTTGATCCTGTGGATGCAAGACCCACACAGCTTCAGAAAGAACCAAGTGTTAAGGAATGTTGTGTCCCTGTTATAGAAAGGCAGATCTGGAGGGCAGAAAACTTGAGGTATCTCATATCAGCCTCATTCCTATTGATGAGACTTTGTGATGTGCTGGGAGGCCACTGAGTTGACCTTATGTGTGGTGTGAAATTCCATGCTGTAGTGACCCAAGTTTCCAACAGGTGCCCTTGGAGAGTGTGATATGCAAAATTCACATCCTACACTTAGAGAAAATTGATCTGTCAGATGATGCTGACTCACTGTTAGACAAAGGCAGACTCCTCTACAGAAAGAAATTGTATTTGTGTTTTACATCGCTTGTTATACAGTCTTACATAAGAAATAACAAAAGTGCAATTTTCAGGCATCAAACCTGAGTCTAGAGAAAAAGCTTTATTCTAGCTTTTTCTTTAAGATCTGTGGGAGAAAGCTTGAATGACTTTTATTGACTTAAAAGTATTTTATTGCTTGACTGACAGTAACTTTTTACCTGTAACCCACGTTCCAGCAACAAAGAGCACAGAAAACAAAGTTTGCCAGCTTTTGTTCACATTTCAGGTATGTCAGACACCGTTTTAGGTGCTTGCAGTAAGTGGCATCCACAGTGGAAATGATCTTCAGGAAGCTTCTGTCTGTTTCAATGTTTTTAGTGTAACATGCTGGAAGGAGTGCAGCTTGACAATGACTGCATGCTGTTTGTGTACACTTAGATGCAGGTTTTAGGTTTATTTTTGTTTCCTGGAAAGCTTTGTAGGCTTGTTCACTGTAGCTAGATCAGGAATTTTATATTCTTGCTGCTGCTGCTCACTCACCTGGCATGGACAAATAACTGAACACATTCACCTCATGCTCTGAGCACAAAGGATTGTCTACTTTACAGCTGTTTACACCAGAACCATGTTTCTTCTGAATTTCTGTTTGTACCTGACACTCAAAAAGCATAACACAACAGTGAAAACTGTTTTACACTGTTTTTTTTACACTGACCATTTAAACTTGATATTTGCTACTGTAAATATTACTTGGGTCCTGGGTTTAGCCTCTTACACACTTCACTGATAGCCTAAATGAATAATATTGTGAAGTAGAAATTTGTAGCTGAGTAGAGACTGTGTAATTTGGCTGTGAGACATCCTTCCTCCACCCTGCCCACTTAAAAAGAGAAGACTGGAATAAAAACCTTCTTTCAGGAAAAACGTACTCCAGTTTATGGCTGTGTGGGAAAGCACATTAACTTTCCACAAGTGCTAGAGAAAAATTCCAATTGCTTTCTCAAGCCATGATCCAAGAGAGAAGCCACATTCATTAAAACAAAATACAACACCTTTGAAGCTAAGAGCTCAGAAGAAGAGGGCTTCTTACACTTGAGATTGTGGAGGTAGGGCTTCTGCAGGAGTTTCTCTGGTGCTTTCTCCAGGTATTGCAGAATGATGAATAGGCAAAAGTAACAGTATATGTGCTTGGTGCCTTTCACTGGGAAAGACAGGAGAAGGCAGATTTTATTTCAGCACTGAAGAAGGTCGATATAGAAGGAAAAATGTCGGGGCAATCAGGTCCCAACCTAACAAATCTTGCTGAAAAAAAAAAAAAAATCTTGTTCCATTTCTCTGTTTTCTTTCCAGAAGTATCAGGAAAATTATGGGTTCTCCTAACAGTCAGCTTGCCATTTTATTTTGAATGCTGGCATCAGCAAACAATATAAGCAAGGATTCATTCCAAAAAGTGGGCGGTGTTCAGATGTGCCAGTGAACTCCCTGGGTGTTTGCTGGACTATGGGGCTGAAGTCACAGCTTTGGCAATGGAGGTTTTCTCTTGGTGGTGTTCTAAAAATGGCAATAGGCTGCTGCCAGGAAGCTTTCCCTGTGTGGCAGTGCAGTGAGAGTGCTGTAACTTGTCCAGCTACAAAAGAGCCACCAGAATCATCCAGCTGTTGTCAAATGGTGATTGATGGAGTGGAAGCAGATCC